AGGAAACCAGATATATGACCAAAACTAAGTAAAGAAGATCCCCACAGCGTTGATTGCACATGTTTCAGGGTCGGAATCGACCTCCTATATATCAGGCGAGGTAGTTAACATCTCGCAGCCGCGGCGACCTGTCTTTGCTCATCCAGCCACCACCCACCACATCATGGCAACACCCCCCTCCCCCAATGAAGGGTCACATAGTGCCTGGATTAACGAGGTGTGTGCGGTTCACTCAAATACAATGGGCGGACCGAAGGCCTAAAACGCCAGCTGCAGGCTTTGGCAGAAGGGAAGACGAGATAGCGATGTGTGGGTGGCACAGGTTACAATGATCTCTTGCGCAGAGCCGTAGTGTAGAGGGTAGCGGTTGTTGGGCTGCGTTGCGAAATCGGGCGACCCGAGTTCGATTCCCGCTCACGGCCACCAACACCAGTGATGGCTATCTGAACCAGTTCTGGGCCTCCCCTAGGTCGACTCAACCACAAATAAGTACCCGGTGTGAAGTGTAACCATCGCCACTGAGGAGACAAAGGCGTCCGGGCGTGGTGCTGGTATGTATTTATGTTGAACTTAGTTGGTGCTTGTGTGTAGGCGATAGGTGGATTTAAATTAATTAGTCATCTCCAGTTATTTTGCGGGATTGCGTGCGTCAAAGGTGGCAGTGGATTGGGGAGGCCTTCATCCAGTCGTCGATAGGCCGTGGCCGGTGATGATGATGACGTTGGTGATGATGATGACGTCGGTGATGATGACGTTGGTGATGATGACGTCGATGATGATGATGACGTGATGATGATGATGACGTCGGTGATGATGATGACGTTTGTGATGATGATGATGACGTCGGTGATGATGATGACGTTGGTGATGATGATGTGTGTACAATCTGTTGAGCTTCTTTCACAGCGTACGTAGCCAACCGCGCTAATCTTAGTTGCGGGGGAAGGACGATTAAACTAAACACAAAAAGCCGTTGTAAAGAAATGAGTAGTGGTGGTGGTGGCTTTGTAGCAGAAGTTATGGACTTTGCTGGAAAAGAGGAGCGCAAGACAGTGCGTAGAATGTGAAACAGCAGAGTCCTGTAGAATGAATCTTCAGCCTCCATCATTGGCACCGTGAGTCTTTTAGACGTAATTTGTGAAAATGATGCTTCGATGCTCATGGGGGCAAAATGTGCCACGCAACGTTTGCAATGAAGAGATCCCAGACATGATAACAGTCACAACGCGTAACAAAATAACATGGTGACAGAAAATACGGCTCTGCTATTATTTGTGTTACGACTAGGTCCATTGTTATATTAATCATACGTCATTCATGAGCGCATTTTCAATGTCATTATAAGCATGTCCATGCTCGGTAAAGTAGTGAGATTATCATCATCATCATCATACAACACAATAAACATTTATCGTCATTATCACCACCCTCATCATCTCACCCAACTTCTTAACCAAGCATTCGCATCGCCAATCAGCTCATTCAATGTAACGATGAAACGCAACTCTGCCCAAGCTGTCAGAATGCGGATCACGGTCGTGGTCCACCAACCCCGGTCTTATACGCGGCAGCGCTACGGGAGCTCGTGTGGGGGAGGGGTGTGGGGGGAGGAGGCGTGTGGGGGGTGGGGGGGGTGTGGGGGAGCGGTAGTATAGTGGTTGACGCACTGCGCTACGAACCCCGCGATCCCGAGTTCGATTCCCGCTCACGGCCACCAACACCACTGACGATTATCTGAACGTCTCCTGGGCATCCCTTCGGTCGACTCAACCTCAAAGGAGCACGTGGTGCGGTGTGTTAACATCGCCACTGGGGATACAAAGGCGGCCGGGCGTGGCGCAGGCCACCCACGCCTTCGTGTGCCATAGTGCCGGTAGCCTTCACAGGTGCTCGTGACGAACAGATAGGTAGGCGATGGTGGGTGGATGGATGGTGGGTGATTGTCCCACACACACACATAGTTGCTCCTCAGCCACCCCACCCAGTCGTGTCAGTCAAGTCACACGTGAGGCGACGGATGGGTTGAGTGAATGCAGTGATAGTTATAGATGTAGTTAGATCCTTCTGCCAAAAAAATGCACTGAAAATATTACAACGCCGAGAGGTGTGAATCACAAGGACGCGCCGGCCTGCATACAGTGCTCGCTAACAGCACTCGCCCCAACAGTCTGTTAAAGGCTATACGGGTGATCTTTGTCTCTGCGACGTGTTGGGGGGTGGGAACCTGGGGTGGGGGCGTGTGGTGTGGGGGGCTGGGACGTGCCTTTGTGTTCTTGGCCACGGGACGAGTGAACATATGTGCGTGCGTGCGTGCGTGCGCGCGTGCGTGCGCGCGTCACTCGTGCACGCAACTCGGCGGTGGCACGCTTTGAGGAAACGAAAGGTCCCCAACAGGACCCCCATCTGCCATTGGATTTTCGTTTTGTTTCCTCCCCGTTTTAAGAAGAAGAAGAAGAAAAAACACTGGAAGCCATCTGTCCTTTGTGAACAACAATTGCATTATTATCCTTGGGGGGGGGGGGGGGTGGGGGAGTTGTTAAAAAGGAAAAAAAATCACACCAACTAACATTTTTGTTACGTGACAAATTTGGAAATGCCTCCTTGGGAAATATTGTTCTTTTTTTATTGAGCTCCGTTTGTTTAGTTTTTTTGGAGGAAAAAATTGCGAATACTTGGCGAGGACGAATGCTATTATTATTTTGACCCTTCCTGATTGTTTTGTGTCCTTACCACGAATGATCGTCTCCCGCGCACGTTACACCTCAGTCCCCACCACCATCCCAATCAACCTGCTGCAGACACCTGTGGACTTTGTGAATTTACGATCATAGGTGGGGAACACCCGTGTGCCCACCGTCACAAACATTCATCCTTGCAGCTCTCTTTCCTTTGACCTCATAGAGAGGGCTAAGCTTGGCACTTGCACGGAGCTAGAGGAGAAGAGATGGGCTGATGTGGTACAGGATAAAAAACACGAGTCGAGTTGACTGGTTGTGCTACCAAGAGGGCTTGGAGGATTTGAGAGGACTTACTGACAGCTGGTACTAGCGATGTTGAGGATCGACCTCTGTGTGTGTGTGTATGGAGGAGGAGGCTCCTGAAAGGCGCTACTTGGCAACTGGCAGCAGCCGCCCTCCAGGCAACAACAATGGGTGGGCGGGAAGGAGCGATGCTCACAACAAGGAGCAGAGCGTTAGGCAGATAAATCTTAGCGAGGTGACACGGTGGGGGGTAGCGCAGGTGGTGGTGGTGCGTCTGCTAGTCACGCTGGCCAGGTAACCCATGCCACCTGGATCTGTCTCACCACCGTTGATATTGATTTAAACTACGCTTGGCACACGTTCTGGTGCCTGTGGTGGTGTCATCGCCACTTAGCGGCAAGTTGTTGTTTGTTACGTAGGGAATCATGGAGCATCACAAAGTCGGGGGAATGACCGAGATTGTGGTTTGTGGTGGTGGTTGAGGCGAGAGGTGTGAAGCCTGGCTGGCTGGGTGAGTGGCTGGGTGATGGTGGTGGCGCATGAGTGGAGGCAAGGGTGGAGAGTGGAGAGAGAGTGGAGGGAGGGAGGGAGAGTGAGATTAGACACATGCACGGAGACTAATGAATAGATCGAGGGGTGGGGACAGAGAAAAATGGACATTGGGAGAGAGAGAGAGGGAGCAGGAAAATGAGAGAGGGGGGTTGGGGAATCGTACGCATGCAGAGAGACGTGAATAGAGAGGAGTAGACAGAGGAGAAGACATAGGAGGAGAAGATAGACGTATGCGGAGAGAGTAAGAGACGGATGATGTTCAAAGATATACGGAGAGGCGGACTAAGACGCAACGAGAAGCGGATCAAAGTGTAGATTCGTGAATAGCAGCGAAGCGACGGACGAGAGAGACAGGCAACCAGAGAGTGCGGTTGGAATTATACGCATTGAGTACGAATAGCCGGAGATGGAGAGAGAGTGACAGCGAGAGAGAGGCGCCGAACAAACAACGCGCAGACAGAGAGAGAGAGAGATGATGGAGAATGCAGCACTTGTCGTAGTTATAAAAAAGAGAGCGAGAGAGTGAGCGAGAGAGAGCGACATGGAGTAGGAAGAGAGGGGGTAGAGAGAGAGAGAGGGTGGCAGAGAGGGGGGTAGAGAGACAAGGAAGTGGTAAGGAGAGCAGTGCGAGAAATATTTTGTTAAATCTTTCATTTAAAAAGGGGGGGGGGGGGGGGTGGTGTTACATAAAGCAAAGCATTAAAACAAAAAAACCGAAATGATGAACGAAGCAAAGTGCCGACTACACCGAGCATCTTCTTGTTTCCCCTGATCGTAACAAAAAATAAGAGAGCGAGCGACACAGCCGAGGGGAGTCCAGGCAGCAGCGACGAGGCGGCAGTAGCGAGCGTGCAAGCGCCAGTGATAGACAAAGAAACAATTAATACGGACATAAGGAGATGGGGCGAGCGAGAGAGAGAGAGAGGGGGGGGAGAGTTGCGGGTGAGATGGGGAGAGATCTCCAGAGATCCGTTCGCAAAGGTGGGGGGTGGGTGGGTTGGATGGATGGGCGGAGGGTGGGGGCTAGAAACCGCGAGAGCGATTGAGAGACGAAGCAAAGGCAACAGAGAGAGAGCGAGAGAGAGGAGGTGAGAGAAAAAGAGAGCCGGGGATAGAAGAGAGAGAGAGTGGCGGGCAGAGGAGAGGAGAGGGGGGGGCGAGGAAGGGCGTGGAGCTCTGCTCGCCAGGGGGAGGGGGATGGAGGAGGGGGAGGAGGATGGAGACGCGGGGGAGTGTAGTAGAGAGCGGCGACGGTGCAGCGCGGAGAGAGGAGAGGGAGGAATCAGTGGGGGGAGGGGGGAGACGTGGGGGGAGACGTGGGGGGAGGGGGGAGACGTGGGGGGAGGGGGGAGACGTGGGGGGAGGGGGGAGACGTGGGGGGAGAGCGACCCCCCCCCCCCGCACGCGCTCCCGCCCGAGCCAATCGGAGTATAAAACGCGGAGCGTGGGGGCCCCCTGCGCCTGCTATAAAAGGGGCGTGCAGCGTCGTGGACAGCTCCAGTCTCACAGCACAGGCCGGCCCGCTCAGGCTCATACTTTCTTCCTGTCCGATTTTTTACGTAATTCATAACCGGGGTTCTTTTTGTTTCTTAGCCTTCCCTCCCCCCTGCCCCCCCACTACTTCTCAGTAATTCCATTTTTCTTTTTGAGCCCCCCCTCCATTTTTTGTGTTGTTTTTTTCTCTTTCCACCGCACGGCTTTTGTTATTGTTGTTGTTGTTATTGTTGTTAGTAGTCGTAGTGGTCGTTAGTCGTCCTTATAGATTTTTCACACGGGCAGGGATTTAGAGGAATATTAATTTTGTGCAGGAGAGTCATTTTATAATTGTGTCTTTATTTTTTTTGGTCACCGTTAGTTATCTATTATTATAATTACAATAATCATAATTTATTATTATTTATTCTGCAATAAAAAACGAAGCTTCTTCAACTGTTGGCTTCATTTCAAACGCCCAACCATCCACAGCACCAGCACCAGCATCGGGTCGGCACAGCGATTGTACACGCGCTGGAAGAATATTACTTCGAAACAATGGTCACGGTATGAGAACCAATTTTACATTCCGAATTTGCTTCGTTTAACATTTGCTGATTTTCACAGCTGCAAGCAAGGTTGTCGGTTCGTAGCAAGCAGCAGCATTGTGCATTTAGCATTGATTTTACATTTTTATCATCATCATCGCACAGTACGTTGACTCGTTTTGAGATTTATTTGTGTGATGGGTTTTTGAATGCAAGTCGTTCTTAAGGAATTCCCATTTTTTCTTAACATTTGGCGACATCTTATTGACAGACATCGGTCGGAGGAGATGACCCCTCTCCGTTTCACGCGTCGCGCCTCGCGTTCGCATTTTTCTGGTGCACAACCGGACGTGGCTAAATGGGAGCGTGCGTGAGGACCAGATAGGGAGGAGAATGGTGGCTGGATGGATGGGTGGTGGGTGGTCGATTGTCACACACACACACACACAGAGCTGCTCCCTACCCCATTACCCAGTGTTGCCAGTCGTGTCACACGTGAGTTGACGAATGGGATGAGCCAATGCAACGTTAGCTCGATGTTGTTCGATCCCTCTCCAAAATATTCCTCTGAAATGATGACAACGCCGAGACGTGTGTGTGTGGAGTGAATGACCAGGCCGTGTCGGCTTTTATAGGTGCTCGCTAACAGCATTTGCCCCAACAGTCTGTTAAGGCTACACGGGGGATCTTTGTCTCTTGAATGATTTGGAATGGGGGCAGCAGAGGAGTGGTTGATACGGCCCTTTTGTGGTAGGTCGATTTATCTAGATCTTTTTCCGTCAAGCCTTTTGTTCTGTAGGCACAGAGCCAAAATTGATTCTTGATGGAAGATTGTGAGGAGGTTACTTTATTTGTGTGTGTGTGTGTGTGGGGGGGATAAACAAAACTGACAATCAGATCTCACAGTCTGGGCAATAATACAAAGGGGTTACGTCTCAAACGTTACACGGAAGCGTGGATTTGCATTCGTACGAAATTGCCAATATTTTTACTTCGCGTTTGTAATGTCCAAACGACACACACACATATCGTGCTCCGCAGACATTTGACGGTGTCTATAGCTCGATGTGTTATTTTGTATTCTGCTTTACGTTTCATTTTTGTTCCGAGATGCGCGCTGGACTCTGTGTGAGATTTTAACTTTTTTTTTTAATAACGGCATTTGCGACGTGTTAACAGATTACTGCATTGCGCGTTTGTAATTCGCGATTGCGAGGGGACTTCCTTTAACATCAACCTCCCGTTAAAGAGAGACGTTGATTGGGAGTCATTAAAGGTCTCAGTTGTTTGTGCAGCTCACTATGCTCGGTTATGTAATCGCGCATAAAGACGACGTTATATTTCTTTGAACCTATCTAAAGATAGGTATTCGAACCTATCGACGTCAGTTTTAACCTATCTACGTGACTTTACCGAAAGACCCAAAGAATACACACACAAGAGTCACAATTAAACATGCAAATTCCTAGTGCACGCATGTCACATATGCACACATCTGACATACGGGGCTAAAAGTGCCCCGTATGTCAGATTTGGATAAATCATTTGAGCGCAGCGTTCTGGACAAGTGCCGTGCACCGGAGTTCTGCATCGTCAGTTTGTAAACAGGCTCCCGGTAGGAACGTGCCTTTGAATGTAATATTCTACGTGCAGCAGATACTTTCACTTTTCATTTCACTCCCATGATTATTATTATTAAGGCACGGCTCTCTGTTGCTCTTCACATCTAACGCGACGACGAGAAGCGAATTCCACAGTCACAAAGGAGGGCATTGTATGCGACGGGGCCGCGAGACCTGAGATGCGTTTTGATTAGGGCCACGTTTGATTGCTGTGCGCGACCGCGCGCGTTTACTGCACTCTCAAAGTAGCCGGCCGGTCTGAATTCTAAATCCTTCTGTTTGTGTGAGCTTCAGCAGGCGACAAGGGTGGGGGGGGGGTAGTGCTCGCCGCCTACAAGCAAAACAATGAGATGCCGGGTTCATGTGGCACCTCTTGCCATGCGCACTGGAAGCCTGTCGGTCCGGGTAGCACGTGCCTGCCTTTCCCCTCGTTCTGCGCCGATTCTGTCCCGAACCCTGCACGCTTGTCTGGCTGGTCCTTGCTGCATTACCCCCCTCCTCCTCCTCTCCGGTCGAGCCATTCTCTATCTGCTGCTCTGTTGACCGATAACACGAACCAAGATAAAAAAAAAATTGTTGCAACAATGCGTGCCCCTAAGCCGCGTCTTTCGCCGTGTGCCCGAGTACGTCACGTGGGGGTGGGCGTTGTCCAAGTTTGTGCGCGAGACGGCCACTCTGTAGGAAACTCAATAACGTACACGGCCAGCTCGCTCCAAAATCAGATTATCTGCGCAAATCCTCCCCCGGATCGGCCGGACTAAAACAAAGTGGCCTGCACGCTGCAATGCACGCGGCGTGGGTATCAACACGCGCACGCTTACACTGACCCGCTCGCATCCCGTCGTGCCATTACAACGATACCCAGCCGCAAATCCGAACGACCCCCCCCCCCCCCACCTCCACCCCCTCGCTTTCCTCCCTCCTCCGTCTGTCGCAGAATTCCCGAAGGTTGTCATTCCGAGTTGATTTGCAACTTTCTCGCGGCGTTATGCGGTTAGTCGCGTGCCGAGGTAACCAAATGAAGCCGTTCGCTCCCGTGGCCAATTAATTGCCCGCGTCTTTTTTTGTTAATTGTTGTTAATTACCGCACAGTTTATTATTGTAATTATGCCTGAAAGAGTAGCAAATATAAATATGCATTCGGCAATGCTCCATGTAGGCATCGCACTGCTGTGACGAAGGCCCACTGCCCGGAACGTCGCCTCTTTCGGGCAGAGTTGTTGACGGATTGCGTTTGAGTTTTTTTTATTTGATCGTCATTTTGTTGTTGTTGTTGTTGTTATTTGTGCTCGTACCGCTACTTGCCAACGCAGCATTTACGAATATTTGTTATTTTTGCATGACGACAACAACGACTGCTTCTTCTTGTGTTGTTGTTGCTATTGCTGCTACTGCGGGAAGTTGTTGATTTTTTTCTGGGTGTGGTGGTGGTGGTGGGAGGGTGGGGGTGGTCTCCCCCCCCCACCCCTCCAGGTGCTGGACGCTCTGGAGTGGCGGCTCTTTGTGTGGCCGATTGCGACGCTTTGTGCTTTGTGCCACGGAAATCAACGCCGCGTTCTTGAGCGAATTGCCGGAGAGTCGGTACCCTTTTGTTGGAGAGTGGCCCTTTACCTGCGGGAGGACATAATTAGGGCACCTTTTATTTGGCAGAGGGCGGTGTGTTTCGCGCACCGTTATTAATTACTGATCCAAGGTAAGGACCCTTCATTGGCTCATGCAGGATGCTTTCTTTGTGTGTGCGCGCGCGCCATAATGTCTCATTACTATTCGTATTCAAATCAGACACCACCGAGGCCATCGCCACAATTAAATGCCGGCGTAAATTAACAAATGTATTATTTTAACGCGAGGATCATGAAAGGGTGAGTGTTCCTTTTGCGTCTTCTTGCGTGTTTATTTTCTCTCTTCTCAACAAAGCCTATAAGGGGAAAGCGTTTGACACAAAATTCACACTCCACTAATGCAGACTGGAAATTAAGGTGGCAGCGGGAATGCCTTTTCACCCAGACTATGCATTTTTAATCACGCAAAATATTGAATCAATTTATAACGGCGTCGGCGTTCGAGGGGTGGAAATTACGCATGCATCGTCGTGGAAGTGGCGCGGGAGGCGATTTCCACAGCCACACCACCGTAATTGCTGTGTGCGTGGACAAAAAAAGAATCACAATAATTCACGGTTTTCTGCGGCAGGAATCGTGGCTTTGTGGTGATTAAAAATAGGGTCGGAGGAAGGCACTTGGGACGTACAGTTGAAGCCCCATTCCAACCACGCGGGGAGGAGGGTGCTGGAGGCATGAATCCACAGCAACCGGCCATGGTGCACGGCGTCTGTGTGTACGTGTGCGTGTATGGGGAGACAAAGGCGGTCAGGCGTGGTTCTGGCCACCGTCCTCCTTGTGCGCCGTTCCGGCCTTCATAGGTGCTCGCAAACAGCACTTGCCCCAACCGTCTGTTAAGGCTATACGGGGGATCTTTGTCTTCTTGTGCTTGGGGGAGCAGTCGTGTAGCGGTTAGCACGCTGCGCTACGCTACGAACCCGGCGAACCTAGTTCGATTCCCGTTCACGACCACCAACACCGGTCACGATTATCTGCACCGGGTCCTGGGCCTCCCCTAGGTCGACTCGGCCTCAAATGAGTACCTGGTGCGATGTGTAAACATCGCTATTCGGGAGACAAAGGCGACCGGGCGTGGTGCTGACCGCCCCCTCCCCATCGTGTACCGTGTCAGCCTTAATAGGCGCTACTCGCGAACAAGCACTTGCTCCTACAGTCCGTCAAGACTATAGGGAGGACCTTTATTTTTGTGCGCGCGCGCCAATTACCTACCCGCGCGGAGCGACCCCGCGTCTCCGCGAAACGTTTTTTTTTGTTCGCGGTTGCGGCGGTCGCTGCCGCTTCCGGGGGGGTGGGGGGGGGCGTCGGTTAAGTTCAAGGCCGGACTTTGCCCGCGAGAGGAGAGGGAGAGAGAGAGAGTCGTGAGCCAGCGCGTGTTGGCAGATCGACTCGGGTTTTGTCATCGTTAATTGCCATCGCCACCGCCACCTCTGCGGAGCGTGCGCCAGAGGGCACGGTAATGAGCGTGAGACAACCCAACAGGACAATCGCGGGCACACGCAGAAAAAGTGGACCTTGAAGACCGTGTTCAGGCCCTTTAGCTCGGGGGGCGTCGTCGATGGGGCCGTAGGGCTGCGAAGCGATCAGCAGATGGCAGTACAGCAAGCGGGTGACCCAATCTGTACAGATTTTATTTATTTATTAAAATACCATCGGCTCGCCCGTGTGGGATCTGTCCAGGTAGCCTATGGATTTTGGCCCCGGATAAATTTTGCTCGAAAATGTTTGCTCAAAAAATGTAGTTGGCCAAATATTGTACGATTGTTAAGACCTCTTGA